CACAACCCCACTCCCTAGTTATCAAAATTTTGACAAATAACACTATCATTACTTTAACATAAGGCATGTAAATTGCATATGGCAATGCCTTTATGTATTGTCAATATTTTTAAACTTTTATGTGGCAGACAGTTCTAAGTATTTATACTGTAATTCTCACAACTTTGTGGAGGTAGGTATTATTAGCTTCCCCATTTTATAGATGACAGAACCAAAGTGCATAGATGTCAACTAGCAGAGCTGTGATTCAAATTTACTGGCCTGACTCTTAGGGGCCTGTGCTCCTAGCCTGTCTTTCAAATGAAGATTCATCAAGGTTGATGGCATTGTAGATCTAGTAGAAAGTTAATTCTTCTTCCTATAAATGTATTCAGAGGCCCCTTATTTTGTTAATCATCAACAAAATTTTTATTTGGGCCAGGTATAAGAAAAATATGACCCTCCTCAATTTATTTAAAAGTAAGGTTTACCTTTTATAAAAGTAAGGTTTACTCACTTGCTTAGCATGCTCAACGCCTTGATTTCTATCCCAAGGAGGCCCCTTTCTTATAACAACAAAACTTAATTTGTTCATGCTCCCTATATCCTTTTCTTTCAGTTGCCAGAGTACTTGAAAGAATTATGATAGATAACATTTGTATGTTTATTTCATTATGGTTTTATATATCTTTTAAAATGTGTTCCTCTTTAACATTATAGGGATGGAGCAGGTACCATTATCATTATTTTAAAATTTAAATTTCCAGATCAGGACACCAAGATGAATCTATTTTAAGTACTGTCTTCAAAGTTACACAGTTGGTAAATGGGGAGCTAGAACTGTGGACTCCTGATTAGGAATTTCTTGTCAGTAGCATATCCTTTTTTTTTTGGCCTACATTTATTCTTTCTTTCCCTCAATTTTTGTGATTTGTACTCCTAAGTCATTCTATTAATTACTTTTACAAATTAACCAACTCACTGACTACTTTTATTCATTAATTAATTTTTTCAGCTTTTCTGTTTACTCTTTCCTCTTTGAAATTCTCAACTCTCTTGACTTTTGACCCTTTTATTAATTTCTTTTTACTTTTTTGACTACTCATCTTCTTCACCACACCTCTACTTTTGACTTCTTAACATGTCTTCCTCAAGCCTATGTTTTAAGTCATACGGTTTTCTGCCTATACTTGCTCTCTCAATAATTATCTAGTTCTGTAGTTTCAACATTCAGTGCTATGATAATCCAGTTCTATACTTCTTGTTTTAATATTCTATACTCCCAACTTCCCAGATATCTACCAGTCTCACCAGCACTTCAACTGTAACATGGATTGAATGTTGGATCATATGTTGATTCATATATTGAAACCCTAATCCCACTGTGATAGTATATTTGGAGGTGAGACTTTGGGGAGGTAATTAGGTCATGAGAATCGGTCCCTTTTAAATTCTCATAAAAGCTAACTTTCTTTTGGCCATTTGAGGAGACAAGAAGACAGCACACCAGAAAGTAGGACCTCACCAGACACTGGATCTGCCAACACCTTACAGACTCCAGAACTGTGAGAAATAAATGTTGTTTAAGTCTCCTCATCTATGGCAATTTGTCATAATAGTCTAAAATGACTAAAACAATGTCTAAAACCAAAGTTGTGATCTTCTTCACAAAGTATGCCTTCCTCTTGTTTTGCTCTTTTTCCCAATGAATTTCTCAACATTGCAAAGCTGCTAGGATTACCTTTGTGCCCTTTATGTTCAATGGCCATATTCTATTGCAGCATATAGTTGTTTAGCACATCTTTCTGTTCTGTTCTATTCCTTACTTTGTTTTTTTTTTTTTTTAACTTTGGATTAGGACATCAAAGTTTGTCTAAGACTTCAATGAAGGAAATACATCCTCTAGGTGAAATGGCTATCCCCAGGTACTGAGGATGCGGGATGATTTTCATTTTTGAATTTTAGAAAAATTCTTAGTAGTGACCATGTACTATTTTCAAAATCAGAAAAAAATTAAACCAACTATAATAAAAGAAAAATAAAGGGTTGCATTTACTCTTTGAGCATTGAATTAATGTACCTCCCTTATAAGGCCTTTCTATATTACCTTAATCAGGCATGTGCTTGTCCATTTCTTTGATGTTGTTTTTTTTTTAAATTTCATGCCATTAATGTATTTTTGTGTCTTTGTTTTGTATTAAATTGGTGTGATTGTGTTACATATTAGAAGGCCATTAAGAATTGTAATGCAAAAATAATAAATAATAAATTGAAAAAAAATTAAAAATTAAATTAAAAAAAGAAGGCCAATTATTTTTTATTTTTTTGGTACAGGGGATTTAACTCAGGGGTGCTTAACCACTGAGATATACCTGCAACCCTTTTAAATTTTTTATTTTGAGACACAGTCTTGCTAAATTGCTGAAGTGGGTATGTAATTTACAATCCTCTTGCTTCAGCCTCCCAAACTGTTGGGATTACAGGAATGTACCACCACACCCAGCTTAGTCAGTTCTTAAAGACAAGGTGTTCTGATTCAGTTTGTGGATAGTAGTTTCTCAGTAAATATTTGTGAGATTTTGGAGTTGAGCCCTAAATACCATAATTGTGAGCTGATAACCACTGGATTGTGTGTCAGATTCTCTTGATGTGCTTCATTTCAGTGTTTTGTTTTGTTTTTTAAGCCTAATGCCATTGTTAACAAAACCTCATTCATGATGGGCTTCATGAAAGAAGTTGGGAAACAGGTCAGGTATACTGTCTTTACTGGTCCTGGTCCAGTTATAGATTTCTGTTTAGAGAAAGTATGTATATGGTATCAGGAAGCCTGAGAGGCAGAATAGAGCACTAGAGCATTATTCAGTAAAAGAAAACATTTTTTAATCCAATTATTTGCATGTTCTTTCACACTTCATTATAATGACATCTCTCTATCATTTGATTGCTAATTGTTGTGGATATTTAAATGGAGAGTATTCATTAATACTAAGTGGAAGCACTAAAAGGTTCCCAAATCAGACACCTTTGAAAATTCAACAGATTCATTTTATGTAACTATTATTGGGATTTGAACCCAGCTCATCCAACTCTACAGTTCTATGCTCATCTGTCCTTTCAGATCAACTGAATTGACCATCTCTGGACCCAAGATCTGATGAAAAGGAGAATAACTTTGGGGATTAGCTCCAGGGAGAAATGCTCCATTTCTTTTGGTAGTTTAAACAAGAAACATCTATTAAGTGCTCAATTGCTCTGAATCTGTACCAAATGAAGGGTTAGTACTCTAATCCAGTTTTACTGGCTCCAAATACAGTAATTTTTGTTACCTTAGCAACGGTATAGAACATAGAATACTTGGAAACTATGATATTGTCATCTCTGTGTGCCCCAAAGTTAAAAGTTTAACTGAAGCCACCTTGATCACCAACCACATGTCAAATTCCCTTTTTTGCATGCTGCATGTTAAGGTGTGTTAAGCTTAGTAACTTTGTCACTACAAGCTTCTTCATAATGGCAGCAAATAGATCAGGTATGCTGCCTCTTCTGGTCCTAGTTCAATCCCTCGCTTTCTCTTAGTCCTGGGAAGTGGATAGGATGCAAGAAGCCTGAGAGAATAGTGATGTGGAATTAGAACTTTTCTCCTACTTGGGCCTCACTTTCCAATCTCTATTGGAGTTATTTATCTCTAAATTTCTCTGTTGAGTGGGAAAGGCAAAGGGACTTTGCCTTTCTATTGGTTTAAAGCAACAAACTAGAATGGTTTAGGTAATGAACAGTCTTTAGAGGGAATAGCCATGCAGCTTCCTGTAAGTAATGGTATATGGTCCCTTGGCATCAATGGGAGGGTCAGACAAATTATCAGATCCTGGGAAAACTCCAAATATGGAGACCATTTAAGATTTTGCCAGCAGGTGGCACTTCTCTCCTATTCTTACCAAATACAGTCTTTCCAAGGTACAATATTCCTGTTTCTTTGCTTTTATTCAATTCTGCGGAATGATCTTGAGTGTAGCCAGACCCAAGCATTCCTCTTTGCTTTTTGTAGGGATGTAGTATACAATATCTGTATAAACATTGTAATACGTTTATATACCTTCTTTCCACAAAGGATTTGAAATTGCTTACAACATACAGTATAAAATAGAAAAATATGAAGAAAAGGGGAATATCAATTATTGTAAAGAATATTTAATTTGATTCAGGGTTCCAAGCAGCTGGAGCAATGATAATGGTTCATTGTCAGGCCTTTGTGTGAATTCGAAAAAGAAGAGAAATCCTTTTCTAAGTTTTGAAATACAAATGGAAGTGCTCATGTAGGAAGTTTCTGCTATGCCCCTTTCGTCTTGCTAATCTAATTTTATGTTATTCCTGGCCTATAAAAATCAAACAGTACTTTTATCACTCTATACCTTCAGGGCTATGTAATCAGCATTCGTCAACCTGTCAAGTTCAACTGGATTCGCCCAGGCGAATCTTAGGTTGTCCTGAGCAGCCAGAATGCAACATCCTTTAGGTACGCTTGGGTGTGCCCAAACCATTTATAAGAATCCCTTCTTGAAGAGAGCTTTTAACTAGATGGAGAAAGAAGACCTGTGTTTACACCCAAGACAAAACTAGAGTTATACTGGGTAATGTCATAATCAAATGCTAAATTCGTGTCTTAATAGGATTCTAAAAAAGTAAATCGGCAACTTTCATCTCTTTCAAGTTTCTAACATGAAACCACTAACAATAGCTAGTGCAGGCGGGAAGGGGGCGGACGGGAGGGGAGGGGAGGGACAGGAGCGCCCCTAAACTGTTCCCTTGTCACCGAGTGTTTCCCTTGATTAACTAGAGGTGCGGGTCCGTAGCGCCTGAAGGACCAGCGCCTGGCTCCGCCCATCGCTGTCTAAGGTTGGGACAAAGATGAGGGGCGGAACCGCGCGGGGGCGGGATCCCGAGAACCCTACCCGGGAGGGGATCCCAGTCCGGGGCTGGGTACCCTGCGCCCGGGGCGGTGGCCGCAGCGGGGCGGGCGGCTTTGTGGCGCGGGCGGGTTCCACCGTGGGAGGCGCGGTCTGGCGGAGGCATCCGCGGTCCCAGCGCTCGGCCCGGCGGCGGGCACCACATGGCCAGCCGGGCTCAGTCCGGCTTCCCCGCACGCACAAACAGCCGCCTGGATGCGTTCCTGAGGCGGCATCTGGCTCCCAAGGTCTACGACGCCATCCGCGCCTACGAGCCGTGCATCGTGGTGTCAGACTCGGAGAGGCACACCTTGAAGTATGTGGTACTCAGTGACCGGCTCATCTACTTGACCGAAAACCCGCCTAAGTCCATCCGGCGGGTCGTGGCACTGCGGGACGTCGTGGCCATTGACTTGGTGAGGAGCGCGGGCTAGCAGGCGGGCTCGGAAGCGCAGGGAGACCCCTTTATGGGTCCCCAGTCCCAGCGTCCTGCAAGCGGGAAGGAGGAGGAAGACCTTCCCCATCCCGCCCGAGACTCCGCACTCTGGTTTCAGGACGGGCAGCCACACAGGAAAGCTGTGAATTTTGCTGGATAATTCCTGAATAGAGATGTCTTTCTTATTCTTGAGCTGTTCCCCCGCCCTCTCCCCTTCCGTTGGGCTACAGGTTTGAAAACAGCATCGATCAAAATTAAGCTTTATTTATTTATTTATTTATTTATTTATTTATATTTATTTATGTACGTTAAACACTTAGTCGGTGCAGGCACCGTGCTAGACCTGGAGGATGAAAAAACCAACCAAATAGCAGTCTTCCTAGAATCGGTTGTGGGTGGGACCGAAAGACAACACCAAAGCAAATAAAGCCTTGTGTTAAGGGCTATTTATACCTTGCTTACTTTTATTGCCCTAACTCTTCAAGCATGCTAGGTGCACTCGAATAGTAGGTGAATGAATGAATGATGCATAAATAAAGTGTGCACAGGATGCTTGGCAATCTCAGGCTTGTCTCTTGATCCAAATTGAGTTCAGGGCATGCTGGGAAAAGTTCCTGGAAGGAGTGTCATCAGAGCTAAGCCATGAAGGATATACAATGTGGCACAACCCCTCCTTGTTCCAGTTTTTAGTATAATTGTTACTGTATTTCTTTCCTTCAGGAACAGTTGTATTTTATAAACCAGCAACAGTTGGATGTATTTTATAAACCAGCAACAGTTGGTAGTATGGTCTTTTGATTACTGTTCTTTTCCTTCCGAGTCTCTTTGTCTTAGCTGCTCTCCAGGTGTGTTCTTCCTTTTTTCCACTGGGGACAGATGTCTAGCCTCCTTTTACTTTTTCTTGCCTGAGTCTCTGTGTCCCCCAAGGGAAAGGTTGGCAATACTCTTGATGGAGCTGTTTTGCTTAGAGAATCATAGATTGTTTTGAACATGTCTGTAAGAAAATAATAAAATTAAATGAAGAGAGGTTTCTTTTTCCTACTCAAACTACCCCTGTAGGCTAATATTATTGTGCAAATTTATTTACTTTTTAAAAAAAATTTTTATTTTTTTTATTGGTTGTTCAAAACATTACAAAGCTCATGATATATAATCTTTCATACATTTGACTCAATTGGATTATGAACTCCAAATACAAATTTTTACCCCAAATACAAATTGCAGTATCACATCGGTTACACACTCACGTTTTTACATAATGGCATATTAGTGACTATTGTATTCTGCTACCTTTCCTATCCCCTACTATCCCCCCTCCCCTCCCCTCCCATCTTCCCTCTCTACCTCATCTGCTGTTGTTCAATTCTCTCCCTTGTTTCCCCGCTCTTTCCCCTCACAACCTCTTATATGTAATTTTGTGTAACATTGAGGGTCTCCTACCATTTCCATATGCTTACTTTTTTTTTTGAGTTAAAGTTAGAAGTAAACTTTGCCTTTGCCTTTTTACTTACTACCATTATTTCCATTCTCTTGAGCTATTTTTTTAAGAAATTTCATTTCCTTTACCATTTTTTTTTTTTTTTTTTTACTGAGAACTGAACTCAGGGGTCTTCTATTGCTGAGCTACATCTCTTTTTTATCTTTTATTCTGAGACAGGGTTTTACTAAGATTCCTAGGCTGGTCTTGCCTTGAATTTTGCAATCCTGTCTCAGCTTCTTGAGTAATTGAAATTACTGTCTTTTATTTATTTTTGCAGTGCTGGGGATCAAACCCAAGTCATTGCACTAGGCAAGTATCCTACCACTGAGCTACATTTCCAGCCCTTCAAAATGTTTTAGAAACTTTTAAAAGCCTGTCTGTTTCTAGTGTCTTCACTATAAGCATTTATCATTTTGACAAAAAAACCCCACTAATTTTTGGATATTGTTATTCTCCCCCAAGAGAGACAACATATGCATTTCAAGAGTTGTTAATTTTCTTTTTAAATTGTCAGAAACTGGAAAGTACTGTAAACCTCCTTAGGCCTAGAGCCTAGATTCCTCTACAAAGTCATATCATATTTAGTCATACTTTAATGTACAAGGTTCACCTTTTATGGATGTAGAATACATAATATCCCTAGATGTGCTGAAGAAATCTGATTTTAACGTTAGTGATACATTGGATGTCCATCTTGCACAATATAGTTTAACTTTGGAAGTTGTGGTAAGCATAATAATTACTCCAAAAAGATAACCACATTCTAAATCCCTGGAACCTGTGAACATGTTATATTACATGGCAAAGGGGAATTAATGTTGCTAATCCATTGACTTTAAAATGGGAGATTTATTTGATTATTGAGGTGGGCCCAATGTAAAAGTGGAAGAGAGAGGCAAAACAGCCAATGTCAAAGTGATGGGCCCAGAGAAAGACTAGACTGAAGGAAGAAAGAGGCTATGAGCCAAGGAACATGGTAGTCTCTAGAAGCTGATGAAGGCAAAGAAATAGGCTTTCCCATAGAGCCTCCAAAAGATATACTGTACCACCAATACCTTTATTTTAAGCTTACTGAAACCCATTTTTAAATTTTTTTTAGGCCTTATACATGTATTTTTAAGTTTTTATTCTAACTTGTCATATATGACAGAATGTATTACAATTCATATTGCATATGTAGAGCACAATTTTTTTCATTTCTCTGCTTGTATACAAAGTATAGTCACCCCATTTATGTCTTTTTCTTACATGTACTTAGGGTAGTGATGTCCACCTCATCCCACCATCTTTTTTTACCTCCTTTCCCTCTCCCTCCCCCTCCTTCACCTTTGCGCTATCTACAGTTTGTCTAATCTTCCCATGTTCCCCTTCCCAACCCCACTGTGAATCAGCCTCGCTATATCAGAGAAAACATTCAGCATTTGGTTTTTGGGATTGGCTTACTTCACTTAGCATTATGTTCTCCAACTTCATTCATTTACCTGCAAATGCCATGATTTTATTCTCTTTCATTGCTGAGTAATATTCCATTGTGTATCAATATCACATTTTCTTTATCCATTCATCTACTAAAGGGCATCTAGGTTGGTTCCACAGCTTAGCTATTGTGAATTGTGCTGCAATAAATATTGATGTGGCTGTGTCCCTGTAGTATGCTGATTTTAAGTCCTTGGGGTATAGACCAAGGAGTGGGATAGCTGGGTCAAAAGGTGGTCCCATTCCCAGTTTTCCAGGGAATCTCCATACTGCTTTCCATATTGGCAGTCCAACCAGCAACGTATGAGTGTGCCTTTTTTCCCACATCTTCGCCAACAGTTATTGTTGTTTGTATTCTTAATAGCTGCCATTCTGACTGGAGTGAGATGAAATCTTAGAGTAGTTTTGATTTGCATTTCTCTAATTCCTAGAGATGTGAGCATTTTTTAAAATATATTTGTTGATTGATTGTATATCATCTTCTGAGAAGTGTCTGTTCAGTTCCTTGGCCCATTTATTGATTGGATTATTTTTTTTTTTGAGTTTAGATTTTTGAGTTCTTTATATACTCTAGAGATTAATGATCTACCTGATGTATGAGGGGTAAAAATTTGTTCCCAAGCTGTAGGCTATCTATTTACCTCACTGATTGTTTCTTTTGCTGAGAAGAAGCTTTTTAGTTTGAATCCATCCCATTTATTTTGATTTTAATTCTTGCATTATAGGAGTCTTATTAAGGAAGTTGGGGCCTCATCTGATATGATGGAGATCTGGACCTACTTCTGAAACCCATTTTTTTTGTTTTGTTTTGTTTTACAGTGCTGGCAATTGAAAAGGCTAGGCAAGTTGTCTATCACTCAGCTTCACGTGGACCTAAGACCCAATTTTGGATTTCTGAGCTTCAGAACTAAGAAAGAGCCATTAAAGTTGTGGTTACAATAGCCATAGATAGGAAACTAATATAGAAGCATTTCCTATTGTAGTGTTTAAAATGGGTAATCTTTTTTTAGTTGTTGATGAACCTTCATTTTAATCATTTCTTTATATGCAGTTCTAAGACTCGAACCCAGTGCTTCACACATGTGAGGCAACCACTCTACCACTGAACCACAACTCCAACCCCTAACGTGGGTAATCTTTTAAACATTATTTTTTTCAGTGAGTAATGAATATAATCCTGTCAAGGTCAAGTGCTTTAATAATCTCTTTATGAGTTTTTATAAAATAGTTCAAGGATTGTTGTAATTCAGTACATGTATTAAACTTCATAGGATGTATGAAAGATGGTGTCATAGAATTGCTTAACTTAGTACTAATTAATAACCACAGATGTAATTGACCAGTCTGTGAATGCTGAATCCTAATACCACAGTGTGCAGAATTTTCCTGATTTCTGTGTCATATCACACATAGTCATCCTATCCATATTAACTCAAGTTACCTTAGTCATTGCCAGGCAACTTCATTTTCCCCCCACCCCCTTTCTCTCTGTATCTCTATGTGTCTCTCTTTAAACCAGGGTTCCATCCTCTTTCCAAGGCCACTTTTAAACATCCTCTTTCTAATACCAGTTCTTTAATCATTCTTTTCCATTCTGTATGGTTTTCTTATTTTACTCTACAAGTTTGTCTTGTTATTTAACTTTCAGTTGTCTCAAGTTCACATTCTGCCTTTGTTCTTATTGTCACATGGTTGCTGGACTTTAGTAATTCCTAAACAAACTTGTCTTTATGCTTCTGGATTCTAGCCCTTCTTGTTTGATGTTGGGCCAGATAACTCTATTTAGTGCTTGTTCTATGTCAGGGTTATACTTTAGGATTTTTGATGAAACTCCACTTTCTTCTCTAAGGGAGTGGAGGTTGAAGTAATCACAAAAAGTTACACCAGAAGTCTACACATGGTTTGGAGAAGTTAAAAATTTGGAGAGGGGGCTGGGGATTTAGCTCAGTTGGTAAAGTGCTTGCCTTGCATGCACAAGTCCCTGAGTTCAATTCCCGTCACCACACATACACACACACAAAAAAAAGTTTAGGGCTGGGGATGTGGCTCAAGCTGTAGCGCGCTCGCCTGGCATGGGTGCGGCTCAGGTTGGATCCTCAGCACCACATACAAACAAAGATGTATCTGCTGAAAACTAAAAAAACTAAAAAAAAAAATAATAATAATAAAAAATCTCCCTCTCTCTTAAAAAAAAATTGGAGAGGGTGAGATTTCCCATTTAGCAAATCTAAGCTTGAAGTAGATTTGGAGATCTCAGCAGGTATTTGATATTGTTAATCTCCTTAAAGAAAGTTTCCAAGATTGCTTTGGTAAAGCTTTTATGAAATGTCAACATTTACTAAGTTAAATTTGAAAGAATTATCTATAGAGTTTTTTTTTTCTTGTGTGCATCAAAATACTATTCTTTAAGCCCTTCTGTGATTAGCTGCATCTTTAAAATATGAGAACAAATACCCAGAACAGTCTGTGAGTTTCAGATGGATTCATTCTCCTTTAGAGCCATCTCATCACCTACAGGAAATGAGAAATCTATCAACTCCAGCAGCCCTGCCTCTGTTTCTTTCTGTTTCCTTTCACACTCTCCTAGAAATCCCAGGCTCCATGAAACTTCTTGGACAGGCAACAAATGCACCCTTTACATGCTGGCTTGTTGCCAGGCACATTTCTTTCTACTTCGAGATGGATAAGATCATCACACTAATAATCAGTTGTGTCACCTTTTGTTTATGAAGACGTGGAGAACTAGGAACTCCCCTACACTGCCAGTAGGACTTGGCAATATCTAATAAAATTGTGGACTTCTTACTCACCAATTCCATTCTTAACATATGCCTAAAATATGCATAATCTTGAAATACTGTGTCCAAAAATAAATAGCAATATTTGAAATAGAAAAAAATTTAAATATCAATAGTAAATTGGCAAATAAGTAATATTCAGTAATGAAAAGAATGAGTTAGATTCAATATAGTTATATCTCAATAACATAGAATAGAAAAAAAATTTCTAGAAGCTACATGTAGTATTATGCCATTGATATAAAGATAGGCCAAGATGATATATGGCTTAGGGATACATACATAATTAGTAACAGTAGGAAAAGCACTGAGGAGAGTAGTTATACCTGAGAAGAGAAGTTGAAGCTAGAAAAGGGAGCATAAGCAACTAACTTTAAAAAAAAAAAATTGAAGCACATATGGCAAAATATTTACTGGGTTGATATGCAGGAGTGTTCATTATATTCTCCGTGCTATTTTTCATGTTTGGATTTTTAAAATGTCATATACATATACTGTTTGCCCCGAGAAAGTTCCATTTGCAATTCATATTTGATGACAGAAACACTTAAAAATTAGATCTAGTGACTGGTTCCCAACTCTCAATTATCAGTGATAATGGAAATGGGAATGAATAAAATTAAAATCCACAGAGGACGAAATTCATAAACAATTCTACCTTTACCTAACTACTTTCACCAGGACTTATCTAGAATGGACTTATTTAGGTTCATTGTTTCAGGCTTGCTAAAATCTCTAATCAAGACTGTAAGATGCTAATAAATGAAGCAATGGCCAAATAAGAGGACAGCCCAAAGGAAGAGGGCAAAGAGAAATGAACAAATGCTAAAGTGAATTAAACTGTCCTCAGAACTGGAAATGACTCTTACAGTTAAATAATGGAACTATATTGAGGTGCTGAGGAAATGGATTTTTTCCCCCTATGCAGTACGTGAACTCATATGACACCCTTAACTTTTCAACAGGTACTCATTACTCACAGGATTAAAATCTAAATGTCTTAACTGAAAAACATTTCAGTTCTTAACATGAAGAATCTTAGATGGTCCTTGCTCAAAGTGTAGCCTTGCTCTTTGCCCAGTTCTCCCTTGCATTTCAGTCACAAAAAGAACACTCAGGGACCAGACGCGGTGACGCATGCCTGTAATCCCAGCGGCTTGGGAGGTTGAGGCAGAAGGATCGAGAGTTCAAAGCCAGCCTCAGCAAAAGCAATGCACTAAGCAACTCAGTGAGTCCCTGTCTCTAAATAAACTACAAAATAAGGCTGGGGAATTGGCTCAGTGCTTGAGTGCCCCTGAGTTCAATCCCCAGTACGGGGGTGAGGTGGAGAGGTGGGGAAGAACACTCAGGGGTTGGGACTGTGGCTGAGTTGGAGAGGAGTTCTAAGACTAAAGAAGAAGGAAAAAAAAAAAAAAAGGGAGTACACTCCATTCTCTGGCTATGCCAGGCCTTGTTTCCCTTGGCCTTTGCAAAGGCTGTTCTTGCTACAGCAACCTCCCCTCTTCTCTTAACTCCTATAATTTCAATACCCTGGTAATCCCAGAAACACTCACCCTCCAAACTAGGCCATGGTCCCATTTACTTCTCCCATGGCACCATGTGCCATGTCATGCTCCTGGTGCTTATCATACTTATTCTCTCCTGTAAATGTGTTGGCTTGTCTACCTCCCATCCACTTGAAAACTGCTGAGGATTTGAAATGATTATCTTTATGTAATACAGGACTCAGCACATAGGAGACACTTAAAAATTGTGTAATAAATATAAGAACATGGCTCATCTTATTAGTATGTGTTCATGAGCAGCTTTAAAAAAAATAAGTTAAATAATTACAACTAATAATTTTTGAGCATCTCCGATGTACCAGACACTGCCATAAACGCTTTACATATGTTAATTCTTCCCATCTCAGCTGAAAAAAAAATGGGTTTTATGTTGCATCAGAAGCTTGTTCCTGCTTCTCTTTTAGAACCTGAAGTATTATGATGTTCCACTGGAGTGTCAGAATCCCTCCAGCCTTATACAGCTGTGTGTTCTCATAGTGTAACACATTTCCAGACATATAGGTGGCATGTGCCAGCATCTGATGGAGGGACAGAATAATGAACCTGAAAAATACACATTTTAAAAATTATTACCTCTTTTTTTTTTTTAAAAAAATAGTTTTTTAGATGTTGGTGGATCTTTATTTTATTCATTTATTTATATGCGGTGCTGAGAATTAAATCCAGTGCCTTATGCATGCTAGGCAAGTGCTCTACTACTGAGCTACACGTCCAGCCCCATTACCTCTTTTAAAAGGAAGGTGGTTTCAGTTCTTATTTTATATTATATTCTCTCCCCAAACTTCTAGTCCTTTTTATTATATTATTTTTTGACTGTAATGGAGATCGAACTCAGGGTGCTCTACCACTGGACTATATCCCAAGCTCCTTTCTAAAAATTTTTATTTTGAGACAGGGTCTTGATAAGTTGTAGAGTTTGGCCTTGAACTTGTGATCTTCCTGCCTGAGCCTCCCAAGTCTCTGGGATTAGAGGCATGGACCACTGTGTCTAGCACCAAACTTCTCAGTCTTGAAGTCTCATATTAGATTTCATGTATTGGGGCACCCTAGTCTGGGTGGCTAAATCTTCTCCAGACCTCTCACCCTTCCCTGAAACTGAACTTCTTTCTTTTGCATTTTTTCTCATTTCTGTTTCAGCAACTTTTACACATATTATTTTCCTGGAAAGACTTTTATTCTAGGGTTCAGCAAAATTCTTCTATAAAGGGTCATAGAAAAATACTTTGGACTCTATGTGATCTCTAGCTCATCTCCTCCTCCTTCTCATTTTTCTTCCTTTCCTCCTCCTCCATATTTTCCTCTTCTCCCCCTCCCGCTTCCTTTAAAAAATGTGAAAAACATCCTTAGCTTGAATGGAATGGGTCAGAGGATTTGCCACAAGAGTGCCTGACCTTTGCTCTACTCTCTTCCTTATTCAATTCCTGTACATTTGCTGGGCTAAGCTGATGTCATTCTTTCTCCAAACAGTTTTTCTTGACCGATCCCACAGGTACAGGTCATTTGGTCTGTTCTGTTCTTTCTTAAGCATCTTCAGTTCCAAGAACATTGCCTGACACAAATGAGAATGTCAATGCATATTTGTTAAATATTCATCATAATTCATCACTTACATTTATGAATGTATTATCTGCAATATACATTTTTATTCAGCTTTTATTTCTATCTTTGCTTTGTACCTGGGCAGACTCGGTCAAATTACTTAACCTTCTTGCTCAATTTCATCTGTAAAATGAAGATAATACCTTTCTTCATAGGGTTGGGAGGATTAAATTAATGTAACAGTCAGAATAGTGCTTGGTACATGGTAAGAGCTACATAATTCATGTTAGTCATTATTAATAGCCTTGATTCACATATATTAAGTGAATTAAGGCTCACAATGAACCTGCAAGATGGATATTATTATTCTCTCTGCAAATTAGGGCACTTGGCTTTGGCAAATTTAGCAAATGTGCAAAGACAGTAACTATTGTTTTAGCACTGATTATGTATTAGTTGTTATAAAATACATTATCTTGTTTGTTCTTTCTGAAAATTCAGCCTATTAGATGTATCAAGTTCAATATGTTAAAACACTGAATTTCTGATTTCTATCCCCAAATCTATTCCTTAATTTTCTTTATTTCATGGAATGTTATCATCTTTCATTATCTTTGATCTTTTTAATTCCTCACATCCAACTCATTAGTATATTCTCCTGACCTGTCTTCCAAAATTTGTCCATCTATAACCATTTTTACCCCATTTTCTGGTGCCAGCTATTCATTTCCATATCTAGACTATTGAAATTGCCTCCAAACTGATTCCTCTCCACACAGAAGTTGCACTGATCTTTGCATCATAAATCATAAATTATCACTTTTCTGATTGAAAATGTCCATGAGCTTCTAAATTCTTGTTGCCCACAAGAGCCTCCATGATTGAACATTTCTATCTCTTTGATTCATTTCCTAACATTTTGCCAAGCTTTTTATGCTTTTCCTTTATGCTCCAGGCCTTTGCACTTATCATTCTATTTATAACACTGTCCCTCCAGATCCTCCAGAGGTTTGACTCCTTCCTGGCAGTCATGTTTCAACCTCAATTCAGCATCACCTCCACAGGAATACCTGCCTTGAATAATATTACGTGCACGTCTTAAGAGCCTCCATGACAGCAGCAATATTGTCAGTTTGATTCACTGTTATATCTCAGTGACTGTAATGATAATACACTGGTTAAGATAGCCCAGGTTAAGCTGCGTTGACAGACAGCTCCACAGTCTCAGTGCTTTAACATAACAAAGTTTATGAGATTGTTCAGGCCACTTGTCCATGGTGGATTAGCAAAGGGCTCTGTTTATTTTAGTTAAGAGACACTTAGTCACTCATCTTAATATCAGAGGCTCCATCTCAGCACATGCTTGCTTGAGTACTATGGCAGGGGAACACTAACTTGGCAAGTTATGTACTGGTTTTTAAGCTTTTACCTATCAGTGACACATGGCATTTCTCACATTTCATTAGCTAGAGACAGGCACATAGCCATGCCTAATTTAAAAGGGGCCAGGAAATTAGGATCCCTTCATTTGTATTTTCCATGTGTCTGGAAGGAAGAAGAACAGGAATTTGTGAACAAACCTAGTGCCAACCTCAAATTGCTGACAATTGAGTTCTATATGCCACTTAGGTGCTGTTTGGAGTGCTTAACTTGGAACTCTCTCTTATCAACCCCAGTTAGTATTGTTGCCTTGGTTTGACAGCGAGTTTAAGTACTTTGCCTAAGGACATTCACTAAGTGGCAGAACCAGAAGTGAACTAGATAATCTGATTCCAGAGCCAGTGCTCTCAATCTCTAGGTTATAGCTGCTTTGGGACATAGTTGGCAATAAAAAATTCTTTTTGATTAAATGAATCCCCATGAGACTCTAAGCTTTTTGAAAACAGAGACCCATCTTTTATCTCATACATTTCAATTTGGTATTTTTTTGCAGACACTCAAAAATACCTAGGATGAATTAATCAGTTGCTTCAAGTTTAGGGGTATTTCCCTCTCTGAAATGAAAAGTTATATAAAGATCTGAGGCAAGGCTATGAAATCAAGTTGAAAGGATAAGGTAAATATGGATTTGTTCACAAAATGTTAGAAATCAAGAAATAAGAGATGTCCCCTTATATTTAGAAAGTGTATTTTAAATTAAAAAAAACACTAGTCACAAATATAAATATGGTAAAAAAATGATATGGATACATAGTGTTCTTAGTAAAAGAAGTTAAGACTATTTTCGATAAAAATTACACATATTTATATACATGTATATTATAATGTATATGACAACAACCCAAACATAACAAAAGATACTCTTTTCTGTCCCAAAATGCCCCTTGCTATCATCATCAGAGACAAATACTGGACTGAGGAGACCATGAATAGGGTTCAGTATTTCACTAGTGAGGTTTTTTTTTTTTAAATTTTTTAAAATTTTTTGGTAGTGCTGGGATTTGAACCCAGGGCCTCATACATGCCAGGCAAGTGCTCTAACATGAGCTATATTCCTAGCCCACTGAAGTTCTTATGAACAATCAATGTTCATTAGTAATAACAGATATTGATTGAGCATAAACTATGTTTCAGCCTTATGCAAAATCTTTTAAATGGAATACCTCTTTTAGTCCTATTAACTTTATAAGGAAGGCAGTGTTATCTGTCTTTTACAGATGAGGAACCTGCAGCAGAGATAGAGTGAATACTTGCATGAGATCACACTGGAAAACATGAACTGGAATGTAAATCCAGGTCGGTGTGACCTCAGAGTCAACATTCTTTAATCAGAACTATGCACATAGCAACAACTGACCCTCTGCAAATTTACGGTATATCTGTAGAAGGTTTTAGGTTTTGCAATAGGGACAACATAGTTATCTCAGTGTGCAAATAATGTGGTTTCTGGGCATAGGTTGCCAAGGAAGGAATCGAAGAAGTTATGAACAAAACACCTTTTTCACTTCCCCACACCGTAGCTCTCTTTGTCCTTCAAAGCCAAGAAAGGTGTCATTACTATTACTGATAAAGCTCAAGGATAAGCTTGGCTGAAAAGACCCTGGTGAGATGCCGCATCCCTTTTACAGGACCAAGGCTTGAAATATTTTTTCTCTTAGTCTTTCTCAGATGTAATTCTTAGCCCTGAGGTAATGATTTTTCAAATCTAACATTGAAATAGTCTAGTGAGCCTTTATTTTGATAGGGTACTGCCCAATTCTTAAAACTGGAAATTACTTTTAGAATATGTGGTTGGGTCATTTCATGTCAGAAATATTCATGGATTCTATAAACAGCTTATCTGCTCACCCTTCCTTAGGAATCAATACAGGCGGAATATAATGGGGGGGAAAAAACTCTGGTGGAGACTATAATGAGTTTGTAAATTGTGATAATTGGAGGATTTGCCAAGTTCCAAATATAAAAATAGCTTCTACTTAAGAGTAAACTTATGTACAATGTGACATAAGTAATTGCTAATGTGTTAGTCAGCTTTTTGTCACTGTGACCAAAATACCTGATAAGGACAATCTAGAGGAGGAAAAGTTTATTTTGGGCTCATGGTTTCAGAAGTGTAGTTCATGGTTGGACAGATTCATTGCTCTGGGTCCAAGGTGAAGTAGAACATCATGGTGGAAGGGTATGGCAGAGGAGGTTGCTTAGTTTATGGTAGCCAGGAAGCAGAAAGAACAGTAGGAGCCAGGAATAAAATATAATCCTCCAGGGCATGCCTCTAGGAACTTACTTCTGCAAGCCATTCCCTCACCTGCCTATAAGTATTATCTAGTTATCCATTCTTGCATTAACACATGAACTTTTGGGAGATATCTAATAT